TTATTTGTGATCCTGTCTACGCCGTGTACCAAAATGTGCAATTGCCTCTAATATCTAGAGTAGCTAAGATCCTCTCTTCACAAACAAGTCTGGACTCTGGCAATTTCATTTCGCGTGGACAAATAAGTACTACTATTCGTAGCTTTGCCCTACCTAGCAGGCGCGTATCCTGGCACCGGGTGTGCTTACTGCAACATAGTTGAGGACCCCCTAGCCATACCCTCGCACGTCTGGGTAGTGGCACAGTAGGTCAGAATTCCAAGAAATCCGACGCCGGAGAGAGCTAAGACGGAGTTTCTAAGAAGACACCAAGTGCATCAAACGCCATGAGACCAAAGGATAAAGGGTGGGGTTGGGATCCGAGGCTTCTTTCTTCATATCGGCGGTCTCGAGTACACTCTAACTGCAACCCCTCAAGCGGGCACTCGAGCGTTGGCAGATAATGAACTTATGCACCCGAAGGCTCCGATCCTCTGGTATCTCTGGATCTTTTAAGTCGAGCAGCCCTTTCGAAGTCCCCCGAACCCCTCACGACAGTCGTTTTCAGGCCGACACGCAAAGAGGAAGATATTTCCCCCCGTTCCAACGTTTGCCGCTGAGCCCCTTGATGCTGGCAGAACATTCAACAGGTCGCATCCGAACAATCTGAACGGCCACGTCGAGCTACACTACCATCCGTATTTAGGATGGGACATCCAAGCAAGAGAAACGAGAGGCAGGGTAGGCTATGACGATCCGTTGCCGATCCACAACGCGTACCTAGACTTTTGCTAGAGGTGAAGCGATTCTGAGCGTCTACTTTGCATCCGCTCTCACGAATATGACTACACGGTCTCCCCCCATCCGAAAGCGAGCTCCGGAATAGTTCTAAAGGCGGTACGAACGCCATTACGCCCCAAAGTCTAGTCTGGATGGCTCGTTCGGTGTGTAGTCATGACCCCCCGGCCGCGAAACTCCGCGTCGACCAAGTTATCATTCTCGAACCGGTGTCCAATTTGCTAACCATCATATATTTAGAACGGCATCGACCCTCCTCTATCTTCGCAGTTACCGTTACTCTCGACACGCCCTGCCTATCTAAAACCTTACCCACCACTCCCTCCATAATTACTCAGGCTCGTCTTCCTCGAGCGCGCCCGAAGAAGGAAGGGGCTGAGACATGTGTATAGCACTGGGTGGGGACCAAAAAGATTTGGCTTGGCTGCTTCATGGCTTGGATGTTAGATCGCGAGGATCAAAAGAGAAAAAAGAGGGTGAGGGAGGAGCGGCTGCTGCCTATCCGATCTGATAATATCTAATATATAGGGTCCCCTCCATTCCCGTAAACGTTCCTAAGCGTTGAAGCTATATTATAATCTTCTGTTTCTATCACACTCTCCCCTTTAAGAACGAAGATAAACACAACGCCGATACATGGCAGCAGCCACCGGGTTAGAAATGTCTTGACGAACCTTACGTTTCATCATGTCCCCTTGTAGAAGATGAAACGAGATAGAAACCTTTCATAGAATTTAATACATATCATCGGACATACAAACAGTTCAATTTAGCCCAACCCCTACGTGCTTCGGTGAAGCTTGCATGTCCGAACGCCCAACCGCACTTCGCTTAGAATAGCGTCCCAAAAGTATAAGACCATCTTGCTGATAACTGCCGCACAGGCGATTCAGTCGTAGCCATGTGTAGAGTAGAGCCATTCGGATAGTGTTGCGTAAACCATCGAAGCCTACAATCTACGACTCGGAGATATGAGCTTATAAAAGCTAGTTTCCTGCATGACAGGATATGAAGTGGCGGCATTAGGCACACTTGCCTATACAGACACGTCAATCTATCCCATCATACCCTTAGGTTGACCGCCCAAGAAAGTCACGAGGAAATACCTAGTTGAATCGATAGGCGAAGCTCCGTTACACAAAGTTAAAACGTTATGGTGAGTGGGCAGCCGAGTCCCCCATAGCCACGAATTCATTCACAACAGCGTTGTACATATAGCTAATACAGATAATCCGATGTCGGACGGGGTTGCCGGTGTTTTCACTATTACAGATGTAGCCTCTATTATTGCAAATGGCTTGGCCCAACGATGCCCAACATACCCAAAGGGCACCCATACCCAGCGCCCACACATCCCTATTCAGTTATGTGGGCTTATATGACTTTTCGATAACATAGCAGACCATCCTGCTCTCTCTCCCACAGACAACAGTTTACAATCGCAAGAATATTGCTAGGGTTAGCAACTACAGATAGTTAGGCGGTCACAGCCCACAAGACGCCTCACAACACACACCAAGGCTACGCCCATTTTATCGTTTAAGATCCCCGTATTACCTACGGAACAGGGCACTGCCACTGGATATTAGGCCTCTGCTCTTTACGCCACCCCTATACCGCTTTAGTGTAAGTTACTTGGGTCAATAAAGGGGTACCGTATCCAGATTCTCCGTCATACACCTCCTAGGTTCTCGGGGATGGCTTTGAAGTATTATTACGGCGAGACGTAGGGTCTCACTGAGGTGCCTGAGCGAATAGGGGTTACTGTCAGGTTTTCCAAACATGCCAACTCGCTCTCTCTGCCAGTGACAATTAGTGTAACCCACTACCGAGAAACAGTGTATTTCAAGGCAGGCCCTGGACGGATCCCAGGGAAGTTCTAGGGTTTAGCCCCTTTCTGTACCGGCATACGAGTGTTTAGTAAACGTTGGGATTTTCTCATAGCCGTATCCCTGATTACGCTGTCCCCTCTCAACGTAACGAGAGAAGGGTCAGCGCAGCACGAAAGACGAGAAAGCGGGTTGTACAATATTGGGTGCCCGGTACCCAGGTTCTAGGAATCCAGGTGGCCTACTACTAATAGACTTTACTCAGAGAACATAAGTAGGTAGCTATGTATATTTATATGGTCGCGTGAAGAGCACCACCTACTTAACCCTACGGAGCCTGACAGGGAAGTGTGGGCGGCTATATTGCCATGTGACAGAGACAAGTAGAGAACTCTCCGCGATCGGTGGCCGTGTATCCGGTTCTAGAGAGGGCTGCACAGGCGTGCCGATGGTAGACGATTGGTGGTGGGCCGCCTAGAGAGAGTCGCAATCCGTCTCGAAGCCATTCTTCTCCTCGCTACATCGTCGGCGACGGTTATCACGGCTACGAGCGCTTGCCCAGTTAAGTCTAGGCATTCCAGCCTTAGAGACTAGGGATTGTTAGGAGCGGTACTCTGCCTCTACAGACTCTTGCATATAAACCCGTAGGCTTTCTATGATCCGGCTTCTGTTCTTGATCCGAAAAAGAAAAAACAGCCAACCGTAGGTACAGGTTCAAGCACCCCAGCATAGTAATATCTATAGGTAGGTATGTAGGCACCGCTTCGCTAGGCTACGTATAATACCAGCTCAAGAAGCGCAGTTGGAGCTGCGATATCCACGAAGCACCAACCATGGCTTACGCCCACTTCCGTTGCCTCGAGCCTTGTCCTATGGTCATGAACACCGATTCACGACTCGTGATGAGAGTCTATGAGGGGGTGGACGTCGGTTGCGGTAGCACCAGGCAAGCAGGACACGATTCATTCACTCGGGCTACGTTCGAACGGCACCAGCACCGGCGCCAGCATGTATTATATGCGCGGAATTCCTAACAGATACCCAGTAGATATACCTACTCGCTGTGCCGGCACTTACCCATTACACAACCCTGGCCGGGCCAGATATTAGGTGCCTACGGCTTCGGCGTTCGATCGAGGAATCATTGTCGCGAGTCGTCATCGCCTGCTGAGAGGCTGAGTACCCGACGTAGTAGCAATACCTCCCTACCAACAGAACGCCGCCGTCACGTTTTTTCCCTCTCCGCGGCATCCCGTTTACGCGCGGTAGAAGCTGGCCTATGTAGGTAGGTGTCAGTCCATATACCTAGGAGGTAGGTACCTGTACTCGATGCGTGCGTTGAAGGCAGGTCAGGTCAGGTGCCTTGACATGCTACGCGAGTCGACATCATCAACCGCACTGCCGTCGATGGCGCGCCGGGAGGTGATGTCATTCCCGGATACGTAACGAAGGCACGCTAGGTAACCATCGCGATCGCCATCTCATCCCATCCACCCAACCCGACTGGGGGGCGCGTACCGCCGCGTACCTGACTACCTGATACAACCATACACGGTACGTAGAGGTACCTGACGCGTCTAGGTAGCACAGAGCAGATGGGTCCAAGCGTGCTAGTCCTGTTCTAGCAATCAGCTCCCTCCAATAGCCGCCCCTAGGGCCCAGCTGGTGTCGTCATGTTGCCCCACCTTCGGACGACCTGCGCCTGCACCTGCAGACCAGATCAGTAGATGCCGACTGCCTCACCAACAACCCTCGAAGGGGAAAAAAAAAAAGATACAAGACAACCACAATAAGGCGGCTGTTCTCTTGTTCCCGCTCGCCATTCCATTGGCGTCTGTCTTTTTTTTTTTTTTTTGCTTCCTTTTGTTTCCTTTTTTTTTGTTTCTAGTTGGTCTTGTTCCCCTCTTCTTCTTCCCTCTCATCTCATCATCTCCTCTCTCCTCTCGTCCCCCTCTTCCTGTCTTAGACCCTCCGAATTACTACACCTTCTCGCTCCCTTACCTAATCCAACATATTCAATACTTGTTATTTCCTGCGACGCCTCTCATCCTCTCACCAAGCGTCTACCTCCAACACCTCTCTCTCTCTCTCTCTCTCTCTCTCTAATCCTACCCAGTACAAATCTGCCGCAACTCCCCAAGATAGGAATCCCCCCCCCCTGCTCGCACGCACTTGGAGCCGCAATCCGAACAACAGGCCAGCCAAGGAAGGTATAAAAGAGCCCCCAACCGTTCAATTGCCCCCTCTCCGATCGATCGCCTTTGACCTCGCAAACTCCGGATCCGTACCCAAGACATCGCCATTTCACTTCACCCTTCCAGTCCATGCGCCCGGGTAAGACGAGACATCCGCCATAAAAGTAGGGTCTTAGGTCCTAACTAGCGCCTACCCCATACCCCTTGCTTATTTACCTATAATACACGTCTATCTCGCTCGACTGTTTGGTCCGCCGTCTACCCTCCTCCCTAATTCCCAGGCAGTTGATGGCCTGCGACCGATTCGTATTCGGAGAGCTCTCCTAACGGTTCATTTACGCAGAAGACCGCGCGCTATCGGCGAACTTCCCTCGAAATGGTGCGGACCAGTAAGCCTCGCCCAGTCGCAAGCAGTCCTGAGGCTCGACGCCGCTGACCAATTCTCTCTAGACACGTACCTCGCACCGGTCGCCCTTGTCCTCCTCGCCGGCTCCATCGTCATGCTCTTCTTCGTCATACTCTCAGCCGTCAACACCACGTCGCCCCTGGGAAATACCTACTTCCTCTCTGCCGACACCTCCGACATCACCGGCGCCCGCCGCGTCACCCAGTGGGCCTACTTCTACATATGCGGCGAGGGGAATTCCGACTGCAGCCGTGCGTGGCCCGCACCCCCGCTGGGCTGGGCCTGGTCTAGAACCCCCTTCAACGCCCCCGCAGTTCTGGTGGGCTCCTACGGCGGCGCCACCACCAGCTTCTACTACTACTACATGTGGAGGTTCGGCTGGGTCTTCTACCTGATCGCCCTCGTCTTCTCCGTGATCGCGTTCTTCGCCGGCTTCGTGGCGTGCTGCGGGCGCCTCGGATCGGCCATTGCGGGGCTCGCGTCCTTCGTCGCCCTCTTCTTCCTCACCATCGCCGTCTCGCTCATGACTGCCGTCTTCGTCCGGATGCGCGACGCCTTCCTCGCCAGCGGTCGGAACGCCGAGATCGGCCGCTACGCCTTTGGCTTCAGCTGGGGCAGCTGGACCGCCCTGTTCCTCGCCACGATACTTTTCTGCGTCGGCATCCGTCGCGACGGCAGCAGTAGAGGCAACAGCCGCCGGTGGGGCCGCCAGCGGAGTGTGCGGAGCCACCGTAGCTACGATCTGGGCGGCACCCGGCGGGTCAAGGACGACTACGCCTAGAAATAAAATCTCCACGGCTCAGGAGAGATGCGCCAATCGGAAGCCGGGCGCGATTTACCTTCTTTTTTAATGGCACGACAGCTACGACGGATCGACGAGATATCAGGAGAGCATACCGCTCGGCTCGCGGACACGGATACGGCGACGCCGAGGCATTAACTAGATATAATTGTTTCTAATCATACCCCAACCAACTACGAGAGGAGGAGAGCAATCGCGCGAGGAATAGTGGACAGGTAGATAGGTTGCGGGGATAGTTCGATTCAAGATCACACCATGCGTGTCGCAGGCCTTGGGAGGCATGTCGACCTGCGCGTCGCATCACACGGGAGACACTAGGCCTATTTCTAGCACTCTTTGTCTACTTTGCCCACGCGGCCCCATACGCTGTCGTTAATCCGGTAGTTGACGGTATATAGGTATAATGAAGAAGACACCTGGTCAAAAGTTACACACTTTAAGCGGACGTGGACTGCCGCGATCTGTGCCCGTCGTTCCTGCGATGCCCGCGGACGGCCCAACGGGGAATTATCTACCTAGGTAGGTACACCTGATTGATGCAGATGCGAATGTGCTAGCATCTCGCCGCCGCCGTATCACCCTCCTACGAGGGCCAAATCCCCCCCCCCCCCCCCAATCGCAGACTTCTCTCCATAGTTACATGCAAGTGAATCAAACTGGAAATGCGACATAGTTACTATATCGGCGCAGTGGTCCAGACGCGCCGATGCTACGAGAGCGCGCGGCCAGCACTGCCACACGTTCACGGGGAAAAGCTGCTGTTCTATCTATCTTGCGGTGACGAATTAGGTACTTTCTTCGGCACTCGCAGCAGCTAGCTACCTATAATCTCACAAGGCGCCGACTCCGTCCCTCCCCTTTTCCGTCTGGCCGTCGCGCCCGCTCCGCGTGCCCGCCTTCGCGTCCATCTCTCAAATACGTTCGTGTACAGGAGCGTCCCCCTCGACTCCCCCCCCCCCCCCCCCCCACCTTCATTCTCTCCAAGCTTCTCCCCCTTTTCGCTCTCGCCCAGAAGATGCCCGTTTGTTTTGCAAAGCCGTGGGGAGAAACACCCTCCCCCGCCCCCCACCAGAAAAAAAAAATAGGAATTCGTCATATTCTCTTGTACCATGAAAACCCCCATAAGAAGAAATTGCCAATGTTCGAAGCAGTGATGTGTGTATGTTGCGTGTGTGTGTGGGTGTAGGTTCGCGTGTGTACACCAGATAAAATGCTACCGTTCGTCGAAATAACCCGTCGGAGAAGATCGCGGAGAACCTGCTCCGAAATGTGCCGGAAGTGATCCCGTTGCTTCTTCCGTCCTTGTCTAACTCAGAAATGCCCCTCCGCCCCTTCCCCCCCCCGTCGTGAGAGCTCAATACCTATCCATCTCTCTAGTTCCCAAGCCTCGGGCTAGCCAGGGGGCTCACGGCGTCCAAGGGAGCGGCGTGGAGCGCCGGCTGCCCCGGCGTCTCTCCGTATTGCCCGCTCCGCTTCTTCTCCAGCACCGACCCGACCCACGCGGCAACCTCAGCGTCCTCCGTGCTCGACTGGCTCAAGTCGAAGTGCAGAGCCGCCCCGGCTACCGCCTCGGCGCTAGCGTCGTTCTCCCTCGCCTCTTCCTCTTCTTCCGCAATCGTTTCCGGCTTATCCAGGCCCTTAAACCACTCCGAGGCTAGGAGCGCCTGGTATGTCGGTCTTAACTTGGGCACCTTGTTTAGGCAACCGTGGACAAATGTGCGCGCCGCCTCGGAATATCGGTCCGGCAAATCGGGCGGGTCTCCCTCGACGATAGCCTTGTAATTCGTGTGTTAGATCTCTCGTCTGCGAATTCAGAAAAAAAAAAGACTACTTACGCTGAGCTGGCTAAAAATCGTCGACGACACTTCCGGCGGATATGGGTATTTCCCCATGCCGCATTCGATGATAGTGAGGCCTAAGCTCCATATATCGCTCTGCACGCTATACGTCCCATCACTTGCCCCCGTCTGCATGAAGGCCCCGCCGGAAATCCGCTCGGGCGCCATGTAGCTTTGGCATCCGATGTTGGTCTTGGCAATACTCGCCACAAGGTTCCCGCTCACGCCGAAATCGCAGATTTTAACTTGCCCCCGCGTGTTGATGAGGATGTTGGTAGGTTTCACGTCACGGTGGATGATGTTGTGTTTATCCTTCAGCTCTTTGAGGCCCATGACGGTACTGTGGCTGATCTTGCGAAGCACGCCCTCCGGGATCCCCCCCGAGTAGAGCTTGTCGATAGAGCCGCCGTCCATATACTCGAGACACATGTATACCGCACTCTCCTGAAAGAAGGCGCCGTAAAACTCGATGATGAACGGAGACGCACATTCGTGCAGGATAACCAGCTCCTTTAGTATGGTCGCCAACTTAGCTTCGTCCAGCTCCAGGCGTATTTCTTTCATAGCCATCACCATCCCGGTCGTGAAGCCCGCTTTAGAAGTTTCGACAGGGGCGTCCGCCGTGTCTTGCGTGGCAGCCGGTAGGCCTAGTAAAGAAGCGGTCTTGATCCCGGAGAGACCGGGGCCGAAACGAGGCATCCGCGGCTTCGCGTGCCTCACCTTGTAGACGGTGCCGTAGTTGCCTTTCCCTAACTCGTCGAGCTTTTCGACCTCGTCGAGTGATATTCTAAAGACGGACCCATCCGAGAAATTGACCCCCTTGTTAGTGATGATCGCTTTGCCCTTAAATGTCAGATACCCTTTTTCAGAATCGATGTACTCTTCGAATTGCTTCATCTGCGACATGTGGCTACTTCCATTCTGCGTCGGTGTGGGCAGCGAACCCGTGCTAGAAGCGGGGTTAGGTGAAGGTGATGGAGGACCGCCGGCCATGTCCCCGAGCGTCAATCCGAACCGCCGCTTTCCGGCAAAGCCTCCACCGCCCTTTTGCGGCACCGAAGGCACGTTAGGCGCCGACTTGGCAAAGACTGGAGCGCCGGGTCTCTGAGGGCCGCCGGGCATCTGCAAGTGTCTCGGCAAGCCGCCCACGACTGGGCCGCCCGAAGAAGGTCCTGCAGGTGGAGTGGCTTGCTGGGCGGTCAGAGGGGAGCTACCCTGACGCGATAAGTGAAACGCCCTCATTTTAGCGTTGATGTCTTCGGGGAGCCGGCCGCTGGACATGTGCGCAGCAGCAGCAGCGGGATGTCTTGCATTGGATAGGATGCCCAGGTGGGTGGACGAGACGGACATGTAATGGCCTGGATTTTGAGGATCGGAAACCGATCTTAACGAAGGCATTCTCTTGGGTGTTTCGAGCGGCGTCGTGTCCGGGGAATCGACGGAGCCGTGGGATACTGGGCTGCCCACGGCTTCCCTATCGACTGGCTCGAGCTCGTCGGGCGTCGCGGGCATCGAATTTGGATCGTCTTGTACGCCGGCCATGGTAGCGGGTTTCGGCGCGGAAAGAAGTAGAAGGGCCAAGAAAGGCGCCTACACTATCATCACCAGCCGAGTGGTGAGTGACTCGGTGGAGCCTAAAAGGATAACAGCGGGCAAGTAGACTGGTGGGATAGGACGGCGGGGTATAATGCAGCAAGCGAAATCGTATAGTTGTAGGTACGACTGGATTAAGCTTGGCGACTGGAGTCGGGATTTCGGACGGCCTCTGGACGGTCGAAAACTTCTGTCTACATGAGAAATGGCGAGAGCACAAGGCCGTGTCGGCGACACGAGGTTCTTAAGTTGTCTGGAGACATCAGCATTTTTCTTTTTATAAATTAGCTGGTTGCTATGGTCTTAATTTTTTTTCAACGGGGGCGGAGCCCGAGCTAGACAGGGTCGGACAGGACCGGTCAGGGTCGGGCAGTGTCGTGGGGTTGCTTTTCTTTCTCTGGTTATTGGGTTCTGCTGGCGACAACCCACGGAGAGGAATCGCCCATGCGATCCCATTCCAACCCAGCCCAAACCCAGCCCGACCCAACCGCCCGTCTGTCTGATGACGGGCTGCGCAGATGACCGGAACACCGCCTAAGGCCATAGATTACAGTACTCGTAGGGCTGCACGAACCTAGTCAATTCCGAGACACTAGCTTGTGCTTCCCAATCGCTGCTCACTCGCTGCCCCGTTGGCGCGGTACGTGATGGTTGCGTTCGGGATGGAGACCGTATGGATACTCGTGGGGATAGTTGGGATGTGCCGGTAACGAACGTCGGGTGCGCGTGCTGGCCGCCGTGGGCTGCTGTTGGTTGGCTGTAGGTTCCGTATCTCGTGTGCCGCGGACTGTCTCCTATCTGCGCCCGGCCGGAGTGGGAGGTGGTTGATGGGACTGCTATGTAAGCACAGGTCGACAAAGCCGCTCCGCTGAGCTGTGAAATCACTCAGAGACGCGTCTTGTCTTGCTTGGTGTTCGCGGACTGCCGACGCGGAGTCTCACTCGGAACACGAGCTCCGGGAGATGGTAGAGGCGCGGAGAGGGAGGAAGTGAGGACGTAGTGTGGACAAGCGTGGACGTGGGACGCGGGGGGGCGAGAGGGAGAGCGAGGGAGAGCGAGGGAGAGAGTGCGGATGTGAGTGAGGGCGATCGACATACGTAAGTAAAACTTGCTTGTAAGACTTGCGTGCCCCAGCTGGCTAGAGAGAGATCTTCAGGATGATGAAAGACGTCAATCAATGGTAGGGGGCAGAGCCATGAGCGCAATGAGCACCCGGCGCTGGTCTATGAGTGGATGATGATATACACGACTGAGCTGGACAGGCTTGGTCGATCAAGGTAGGCAATACATAGGTTAGGTGACGTGACCTTGCAACGGAGGGATGGGGTTTGGTTGGCTGACCGGGATGGGCTCTGCTGTGCATACCGGGTATGGATAAGGATGGATGTTGATGAACGGGAGTGGGAGTGGGAGTGGGAGTGGGAGTGGGAGTGGGAGTGAGGCAACCAGGTCGTGAAGGTGGAGGGAGCGCGAAGAAGTGGGAGCGGGGCGGAAAAAAGGATTGCCCCGCGTTTTTTTTTTTGTGGGAGACAGGACCCGGGACCTAAGCTCCAAACCTGTCCATCAATACTCATGTTAGGTGCTACACCCCGTACCATAGGACCTGAAGAGCCTACCTTAGGTGCCTGCTGCGCTGCCGGTACTTAGGAGGCAGCTCCGTAAAGGAAGTATGTGGTGTACCTAACCCATAGCTACCTAAGGTAGATATAGGCTAGGTAGGTAGGTACCTAACCTAGGTGTCTAGGTGCTAAATGGAGGTACCTAGAAAGAACCTCATATACCTACTACCTTAGGTACTCTATGCCTGGGTAGGTACCTCTTACCGCGGTCCAAACCAGCCGCCGCTCCCTGCTGGTGCCGGCTGGGGGGAGGCAGGATACCCAAGATAGCGCCCACGCCGCCGAGAATCCCGGCGAGTTTCATGTGGTCCGGGCCTTGGAGCTTGTTTCTATCTTTCCGCCTGGCTCGCATCAGAGGCCGCCAATGATCGGCCAAGGTACCCAGGTACCTGAGGCGCTTTGATATCCCTATCTAAGGTAACTAATCTGTGCGAAACCACCAACAACTCCTGGCCCGATTAATTTCCTGTCCACCAGGTGAGCAGAGAACCTACCCCAGGCGAGGCAACCGATTCCCAATCAATGATGATGACGACAATGGTGATGACTTGTCCTAGCTGTAGATCCGCGCCCGTACATTATGTAGGCAAGCTGGGTGCATGGGTTATATGCACTTAGGTATACGTGCAGCACGGATCGTCCCTAAGGTCTGTCTTGTCGAGTCCTTGGCGTCCTTGCGTCACTTACCTACATGGGACCCGGCCAAGCATCAGGCTAGGTGGCGGTTGAGAAAGTCGAAACGTTTGTTTATAAAAAAAGGAAACCTGACGTAGGTGCCTATAGAAACGCGAATACCAAGCCAAGTACGAGGTCAACTCGTCAACTCAGCAGCATCGCGATCATCACGCGCCGATTCGGGTACATCACACTGCAGGGGAAACTGATGTCGAGCTTCTTAAGCCGGCAGGCAAGGCTATGTAGTCGGTGATCTTTTCCCTTTCGCAGCCGCCAACCCACGCTAATGACGATGTCGGGGGAGCAGATGGGACGTAAGTTGCATGGGATTTCAAGGCAATAACAGCCAGCATCGCAGGCAAGTAGGCGAAGTTGCGCCAGAGGTCGACTGCGGCTTGCTGTCGCCTCCGCCGGATTCACGACAGACGGTCACCAGTGAAATCCAAAAATACCGGGACTGCATACCTACGTAGTGAACTGCCCGCGGAGATATCAGCATGCAATCATCTCCCCGAAGCTCAATGCGGTACCCCAACAAACCATCTGATTTGAGGGTTGAGTTGAGGCTCGGGGGCAACGGGCAAGTACCTACGTACCCACTCATATACCTACTAGGTACCTATACTAGGTAATTCTTAGATGCTAGAGTTGTCCTTTAGGCGCCTAATCAGCCACACAAATTACGTAGGGGCATACGAATGGGGTCTGGTAGACCTGCCCAGCTAGCCTAGCCCATAACCCGACAAGCTCAGAGACCAACATAACGTCATTGCCACCATCGTCACCTTTCCGCGATCCCGGCCCAATCCGTTTCGGGACTTAGGGCTGCACTTACGCACCCGTATCCAGGTATCGATTGACGCGTATACGTAAACACTCTAATGGACACTCTAGCGCAGCGTCTCTTTCAAGCCAAAGAGCAGCAGGGCTAGCTGTCGTCGTCGTCGTCGTCGGGGGGGAGGGAGCGACATTGGACATCCTAGACAGCTTCAGGCATCCGTGTCGCCTCTCACGTACCGGCAACACAACCGGAGGAGACGCGCAGCCATCGTTGACAGGTATACTATACCTGCCTTTAGATAGGCAGGTCATATATAATGGGGCCTGAGTAAACACGCCATCGGCGGTCATGGCATGATGCCATGCTTCGGTCATCTGAGTCTCGCTGTGGGCGACTCGAATAGGCAGAGCGGGGAAGATAGCAAGTCGTCGCGATGCGTTAGCGAGCAAGGTAGCAGGTAGCTGGTCCTCCCCAGCCAACCGAATCCATCGCCTCCGTCGCTGCGCTGTTTTTTTTTCGCTAACACGCTTTCCTCGCCAGCGCCGGCCCAAAGCAAGATATCTTCGCGCTATGCAATACCACCGCAGCCCTGCCGCGCCCACTCAGACTCCGACAGAGCGCATGTCCGCCGATCGGCCAATCGTCGAGGGCAAAGGAGGAGCTGAGCGCCGGTGGAACCACGCAACCTGGGGCTAACATCTCTAGATCCCCCTCATTTCCCCTCTCTTCTCTTTCTGCCCTTCTTCCCTTTTGTCTTCTTTTTTTTTTACGGTCCGGACGGGGACGGAAAGATCTGATAAGGCACGGCGCACATGGGAGCCTATCGGAGACCCAGCTTTTATGAGATGGGAGCCTCGCTTCATGTGAGGCCCTCGTGATGTCGGCACGAGACTCGGTCCGCATTGCGCTTAAGATTACCAGGCCCTTTTATTTATTTATTCTCCGTGATAAGAAGCCACACCTGTATTTTTTTATTGGCGTCTTGGCACGCATTTGCCCAAGAAGCAGCAAGATGTTACCTAGTACTCATCTATGCGCACACACATATATTGTCCCCGGTTACCCGCTCGCTCGCTCTCTCTTTTCAACCTAAGCAGAATAGGACAGACAGAGGCTGCGAAAATCGACCACGTCCTGCTTGAACAATCTAAGCAGGTGACAACGTCTTGGCGCGACGCACTGAGTAAGCGGAAGTATTCTCTGATGCCGTTGCGCCCAGTGCACAGGTAACATATCGTTGCAACCCTCATTGAATTGAGTTGCAGTTGATATCACGCAAGAGGGCTCCCAGTATGTACCTGGGATGCATGCTGTATGAAGGCGCGAATGGTCACCTGTCGCCTCGGAAGGCTACCTGCCTGCATCCAGGTAGCTTTCTCAGGCGGGGTTCGTGTTATCCTAATTGTAGACTTCGATATCGACTCGAGAAGTAGGTAGGTGCATCGTCGCATTCCTACTACCAACATACTACCCCCCCGGGGCGACCAGGCGAGCCGATGTCTCACTCTCGCTCGGATCCGGTGCCAGAAGCACCTGGTCTCTGCGATCGTCGGTTGTACGCACAGATGTACAGTAATAATGTGTGCGCACGTAGTACACAATAGCTTGGAAACGTTCCAGCTCGCGCTCTTCGCCGGCATCTAGATCTCGAAGCTAGATAAGAGGTGGCAAAACCCTCACCGTCTCACTACAAGTTCCACGGTGCCAAGCTGGGTCCCACGCAGTAAGGGATTCTAGCAGGTTGGGAGTAGAACGAATGAGTGAAGCCCTCGATGGAGCCGGTTTATCTCGGCGATACCGTGTGTATATAATTGTACATGAATGCAGGCAAATGCTGTGGGCAATACCCCGGCCGGGTACTACCAGGAAACGGGGTCAGGGTACGGGCAGCCAGATAGCGACCAGAGTATTTCCCGGGACAGAGAGGCGGACGAGGTACAGAGCACCCTAACTGTAATATGTATTTTTGGGTCTCTCCCCCCGCACACGCCACCACGAGCTGTTTTGACACTGACTGCCAGCCAATAAGTAGTGGCCGGCGGCGGGGTGACATTCCTCCTAAATGGTCTCTAGGCGGGACCTGCAGCTATTGTTGCAACCTGTTAGGCCGTGCTCCAGCCACCAGCCCATCTTACGCCATCTCGGGGGAACTCCGCGTGCAAGGCCAGGAGGTAGCTTATCGGGTTCAGGTACACAGCATCCAGATGTTGGCCTCCGGCGCTACCTGGGCACGCAGGCTTTCCGTTGTACCTGCACACCTCCGCCGCGGGTTTAGGGGTACTCGAATATATGTACCTATCTGCGAGGGCCAAGTACTGGTTACGCGACTGTACCTGGTCGCCACCACACACTGCTTTGTCGAATAAGGCAATTCACCCTAGACAGCTGCCCTTGTTGCGTTGCAACTCGGTGGTGAGGAGCAGGAAGAAACGGAACTTAGGCAGTCAGAGCTCAACGCCCCTGGACATCCCAAACCTCGCTACCTTTTATATCTTTTCCCTTTCTGCGCCGGTTCCCTCTGCGCTTTTTTCCTTTCCACCACCTTTTTTATTCTGCGCGTCCTGCCAGAACATTAATCCCCTTCATCAACCAGAGAAGCAGCCTCGTATTCCGGTGGCGCTCTCTATCTTCCCTCTCTTCACTCACCTTTTCTTCGTTCCCCTTTTTTCCCCTGTTCCTTTTTTATTGCACCTCGCCGCATTTCTTTGTTTTTTTTTTTTCCTGTTGGTCTTTTTGTGTTTGATCCGGCATTCCGCCATCTTGACGTTGTCCTCGACTGCTTTGCAGCTGGCCTGGATTACGCTGGGATTTCTCGACGAAATCAACTCATCATCACAGCTCTCGGCGCTAGCATTGTGAACCAATCAACAAGCTGGGACGCGACACCTGCCGCCTCTCCCTACTGTCCCACCCGTCCCCGGCCCAGCGCCGCATCCAGCAAGTCAACTCTTTGAGGCTGGTTGCCACCGATAACCGCCGTGAACCTCCTCAGCTAAAGGGATAGAAGAGAAAAAAATAACCTTAACAACAACATCACCAACCCCTGTCATTCCTCCGGTTCGGTCAAGATGGAGTGGTTCAATGCCAAACCTGCCTCTTATCGCATTAACAACCAGCTCTTGGAATGGACGCTGCAAACACCAGCGATGGCAATGTTGAAGCAAAAACCTCACGACAGCCATCCCTCTCTTGATAACCTACTACTGCTGGTCTTCGAGGCGGTGCTGGAGGTCGTTTGCGTCAGCTTACCTGGATATGTCATCGCCAGATTGGGTCATTTCGACGCCGAGAAGCAGAAGTTCTTAGCGAACCTCAATGTTATGTTGTTTACGCCATGCCTAAGTACGCCGACGCACTGTATCGGATATTAATCTAGCTATCTCGCTAACGTGCGATTTTTAGTTTTTACCAAACTGGCCTCGCAACTCAATGCCGATAAATTGATCGACCTTGCAGTTATTCCAGTCATCTTTATCATACAGACGTTTATCTCATATGTGGTATCCGTTGGTGTGGGAAAAGCATTCCGTCTCAAGAAGCGGCCGGCCAATTTCGTAACAGCCATGGGCGTGTTCGGCAATTCCAACTCGCTGCCTATATCCCTAGTCATCTCCTTATCCCAAACGTTGAAGGGACTCCACTGGGATAGGATCAAGGGTGACACAGACGACGAGGTGGCTGCCCGCGGCATCTTGTACCTCCTAATATTCCAACAGCTAGGGCAGCTGGTTCGTTGGAGCTGGGGTTACCATGTCTTGCTGGCACCCAAGAGTCGATATGAAGAGTACCGTGATGAGACCATTGAAGAGGGAAGGTATACCGACGAACCTCCCAACGGAGCCTTGATACCTGAATTGGCCGAGAGTTCGACGGAAGACAACCACTCCGAGAACTCATATGAGTCAGACGTCTACGAACCCGCTGGCAGGACTCCGGTCGCCGGCACCTCGACGGCATCGCCTACCGATTCCGAAGATGAGACGGGCTCGACGAGGAAACGTCTGAAGAAGTATAACAAGGGCACTGGCGGTGTCGATGGTGATACTGTAAAGCCTGCCGGCGAGCCTGACGAGATTTTGTCGTTCCCTCGCATGCGCGACTTGGATGATGAAAACATTATCGGTGAAGTCGCAAGTTACCATGGTCGCACGATGCTCGGCATCCGGAGAGCAGTCTCGTCGACCAAGCGACGCAGCGTCCGGCTGGTTAAGCGTGCGTATAAATGCCTGCCACGACCTATGCGCGTTGTGATGAACGGATTCGGGAGAGTGTTGCTTCGAGTGTACAGCTTCGTCTGGGAGTTCATGAACCCACCACTATGGGCGATGCTGTTCGCCATCGTCGTGGCCTCGGTGCCGGATCTGCAGCGGCTCTTCTTCAAGGAGGGCACGTTCATCAACAACAGCGTGACGAGAGCCGTGTCTCAGACCGGCGGTGTCGCTGTTCCGCTGATCCTGGTAGTGTTGGGAGCCAACCTAGCGCGAAACACGCAAAACCACGAGAGTAAAGATCCCGAAGAGGAGCAGATTGGAACCCGACTTCTTATAGCGTCGCTCATCAGCCGCATGCTCCTCCCTACCCTCATCATGGCACCTATCATCGCGCTCTTTGCCAAGTATTTCCCCGTCAGCATCGTCGACGACCCAATCTTCGTCGTTGTGTGCTTCCTCCTCACGGGCGCGCCCAGTGCGCTACAGCTGGCGCAGATCTGCCAGATCAACGAGGTATACGAAGGAGTCATGTCTAAGATATTGTTCCAAAGCTACGTCATCTGGTAAGTTGCCAACCATCTAATGACTGGGAGGGAGTCACGGCCGTCTAACCGCAAACAGGATTCTGCCTTCGACGTTGGTCCTCGTCATGCTGGCTCTCGAAACGGTCGAATGGGCTTTGCAATAAGCAGCCCGACCATCCTGTAGTAGATCAGCCAGCCTCGGGGGCATATGTATGATAGGATGCGAGAAAAGAAGAACGGAACAAAAAAAAGTGAAAAGATAAAAAATATAAACAGGGACGCGAGATAAGCTGAAGGCAGGGGGGACCCGAGCATCGGGTCGTTTAATCGCCTAAACACGAAGGTTCACGGCAAAATACCTGAGAGGGGCGAGTTGTATGTGAGTTCTTACGCTCGTTGTCACGACGATGGAGGACACGAACAAAAGCTATCTAGGCAGTCTCTCCGGCAGCAAATCCGCCTTAGACTGATTAAGAAGGGGCTACTAGGATAGGCTCCAACGGAATAGGATGCGTCTCCCCAATAGTAATAGAGGAATATTTGTCAGTAGTCGTGAGGGATACCCGGCCAAGCCGGCAGTGAGGTGGACAGCGAAAGACAAAGACGTCTGGGTCGATCAAGACCGTACCACACGTCAGTAGGGTTTTAAGTCAGCCACCGATCGGCATGGTTTGCAATAATGGTTGTCCCGATGCGCTGGCGCGAACGTTCACATGCCTGATTCACCGTATCGACTTGCGCACATCGTACATGGCGCGGTTGTAGCCCTCCTCCGGGGCGGCAGCACGGGCGGGACGACACGGCCTTGAGGCTAGAAGTACCTACACGTGATGTAACGGCTTGATTACGCACGGATCTCCCTGCTCGCCTGCCTCTGCCTGGCAAAGCCACCTACGCCGGTGCTATATACCTACCTATCCATCACAATACCGCCCCGTGTATATGCGCATATACAACAACACAACATGCATGTATACGTACGTGGGTTATGTAACCTCGGGCAGGGCAGCTACTAGCTACCTAAGGCACCTAGGCAGGTAGCTACCCGACCCGAATAGCTTTCATGCTAGGTACCTCCTACCTATGTTACTGACACGGCTAGGGTACGTGGCTCTACACGTAGGTTAGGTACCTAAGGTTGTAGGTATTTACTCGGAACGTTACCGGTCAGTAACATGGAAACTTGAAGGGGGGGGGGAGGAGGAGCGTGGCTAAGTATAAATATCTCCACAGCAGCTTGCAAGGCAGTTAGTTAGCTACGCCACTGCTACTTCGAGGACCCGAATTCGACTGCGGACGCATCCTTCCATGAAATTTTATTTTAACCCAGAAAAAGAAGATTTAAAAAAAAGGGCACTCGCTACGGCCCGAAAACCTACCTACCTACCTAAACAATCCTCCCTCTCATCTCGTCCATCCCACCTACAGGTTCCTCCCACCAACCCCTCTTATCCTTCGATAACTCAACTACTACTCCCCCTACCAACCACACGCAGAGCTCCGCCGCTCCGTCACTAGCAGTAGCAGCAGCCGTCCCACGAACCCAGACCAGGATTGCCGGACTGGCACGAGGCAAAGATACGAGCCATTCTCCGTCGCTTCGGAGCTCCAGGCACCATAGGTCGCCGGAAGAGGCCGCGCCATCAGAGAGGGCCGAAGCCGCGTCCGTGGCTACCGCTCGGGATGGGTCAAGAGACGTCGCAGCTCGTGGACCCGGATACCCCGCCCGACACCCTGTCGGAGCGCAGCTTGGCCGCCGTTGCCCAGCTCATCAAGGACGGCCGCGCCAAACGCATCGTCGTCATGACCGGCGCCGGCATCTCCACCGCGGCCGGAAGTGAGTATATCTGCGATCCCGACTTTCACTTTCACACCTAGCCCGCCCGTACACATAGAGTACATTCGCAATTTTCCTATCGCCGCTCGCCCGTACCTTCTCAGCAGACGACCCCCGCGTGCTACTACTCCCCCTCTTTACTCCCTTCGTTTCGAAACCAGACAGGAGCAGAAAAGGGAGAGGGCGGGCGAGCAGGAGAGAAAGAGTTGCATACTAACCGGCCTGGGTAGTCCCCGACTTCCGCTCCCCCAAGACGGGGCTGTACCACAATCTCGCGCGCCTCAACCTGCCCAATCCCGAGGCCGTCTTCGAGATCGACTTCTTTCGCCGTAACCCGGCGCCGTTCTACCTCCTCGCCAAGGAGCTGTATCCGGGCAACTTTAGCCCGACCGTGTCTCACCTATTCATCGCCCTGCTGGCTAAGAAGGGCCTCCTGCGCATGCTCTTCACCCAGAACATCGACTGCCTCGAGCGCGCCGCCGGCGTGCCCGCCCATCTCATCGTCGAGGCCCACGGCAGCTTCGCTACCCAGCGCTGCATCGACTGTCGGACCGCCTACCCAGATGACCTGATGGCGGACCACGTACGCCGCGGCGAGCCGGCGCGCTGCCCCGAGCCGGGCTGCAACGGCCTTGTCAAGCCCGATATCGTCTTCTTCGGCGAGCAGCTACCCCAGCTCTTCTACGAGAACCGCTCGGTGCCGGCGGCGGCCGACCTGCTGCTCGTCATGGGCACGAGCCTGCTCGTGCAACCCTTCGCCAGCCTACCGCGCGGCGCCGGCCCGGGCGTACCTCGCCTACTCTTCAACCTCGAGCGTGTCGGCGACCTCGGCTCCCGCGCCGACGACGTCCTGTGCCTCGGCGACTGCGACTCGGGCGTCCGCAAGCTGGCCGACGCGCTGGGCTGGCGCGACGAGCTCGAGGCGGCGTGGCGCGCCACCGTCGGCGACGCCGAGGCGGACCGCCAGATCGCCGGCGCCAGCGCCGAGGAGGAGAAGAAGGAGAGGGAGAAGGGGGCGGCCGTCACCCGGGACGAGCTCAACCACCTCGTCGAGGACATGGGACTAAAGTTGGGGCTCTCCTACGAAGAGGGCCGCGCCGCCGCAGCCGTCTCCAACCGGTTCGGATTCGACGCTAACCTCCTGAAGCAGATGCAAGAAAGACATAGGAGAGGGGGGGCCAGCCGCGGCAGCGACGGCGGTGGTGCTGCGAAAGGGTCCGCTCAGGAGGCTACTACGCGCGCTGATGCGCCGCAGCGCGCAGGCGACGGCAAGGCAGGCCCGTCGGGATCTCCTCGCCCTGTTCCTGCGGCAGAGGGCGAGAGAAGCCCGTCATCGCCATCGTCGCCGCCGCCACGAGGGGAGGAGCGAGGAGAAAGCAAGGACGCCCAAGCAGAGGCGAAGGACGGTGAGAAAGCATCCTTGAGCTACGAGCCCACAAAACAACCGGCCGTGCCGAAAGAGGACGGCCCGGAAGGAAAGGACAGCCTGGAAGGGAAGAACAGCCTAGAAGGGAAGGACAGCCTGGAAGGAAAGGACAGCCCGGGAGCCGCTGCCGAGACCGGTGGTGCCGACAGCGGCGACAAGCTCGCCTCGACGCTGTGAGAGAGGGTTGATACAGCCACTTCGCAGCGGCCCACGATGCTGGTTTCGCTGCACGAGAGTGGTTTCGTCGAATCGCCTAGGCAGTTGACTTAACTATTGGTTTCGTTCTCGCAAGTCCGACGGATATGTGGGATGCGATCCGGGTATCCCATGGCGGGACAATGACAACTACAGCAGGACGACGAGGCATAGGGTATCGATTGTATGTACGGTAACTAGTGTGGTGGTGACGTGTTGTAGAAGAACAAGAAGAAGAAGAGGGCGAGGGCTAGCACGACTTGTCGCGGAAGCCCAGGCATGTCGTGTGTGCGCTCGCCCTCCTTGCTCGCGCAGGCGGACTTCGGCCGAGGCAAGAGACGGAGCCAGGCAGATCGGCAGAATGGCCAGTCGGAGACGGTTAAGCAGATGTAAATATAACCATGACGTTGCTTTTCTCGCCTCCACGCCCGGCTCTCTCGGGCCATTTCCCGTCTAGCTTCCCCGGGGCAGGAGATGTGCGCGCCTTGCCCGTAGATGTATAGGTGGGTATAGGCATGTGTGCGTGCGGGTATCGCGGTCGCGAGGACCGCGGCCACGCCTGGCCGTCTACGGCGCACCGACCTACACGCCTAACCTCCCCGCCTCACCTACCTTCTTCCTATCTACCCTCCTTACCTATGTTCGCCATAGGGCGCTGCGAGGATGTATTTATCCTTACTAGCAACCGTACCCTGGCCAGGCTGGAGCAGCGCCAACGCGCTATCGCCGACGGTGCCGAGTTAGCGGTTCCGAGTCGCTGGCATCGGGCCGGAGGACTGGATCAGGAGCAGGAGTAGTAGCGTAGGCGCGTAAAGCTCCGGATCGTCGCAAACAACGGCGTTGGCGGGATGCGGATAGAGTGAGGGAGAGAGGGGAGGGATGCACGTGTAGGAGGGCAGAGCACGCATACGTGCATACTTAATTTCCTGATGGCGACGAGGTTAGGTACCTTGAGGTAGGGAGTAGAGCTAGGCATGTGATATGTACTCATATGCACGTATATGTGTATGTATGTATGCATCCATGTATGTATGCAAATTAGCATGGATAGCAATATATGCACGTACAACGTGCCAGGGACCAGCGTTTGGGGGGGGAGGCTCCCTTTTAAAATGAGACGAGGACGGCCGGATCAATCCGAGCTGGATCGGATTCGCAGGGGCCCTTGCTGCTGCGCGGCGACGGCGTGGTTGCGGGTGCCTATCGAGCAAGCTGCTCCAAGGCTACCTACCTATCTATCTCTTCGCCTAGGTCCAGATTTATTTACCTACCTATTGATATTTGCTTGTTTCTCTCTCCCTTCTCTCCCCAGGAGCGTGGCGGCGGGCTCGGCAGGATGCTAGGTGAGATTTACTGGGCGATGGTGGTGGCGTGTGTCACGAGCACGTTTTCTTGCCTTCTTTTTGGGGTGCATCTGACGGTTTTCTGTTTTCTCTCGTCTCTCGCCCTCGCCCTCGCCCTCTCTCGACGTACAAGCACCCATCCCATACCATACGCACAGGAGCGGTGCGTCAGGCGCGCGGCGCGGTAGCGGAGGTAGCGCTCTGGGCCAGGTCGACAATATACGCAGGTGAGATTGCGAGGTGCCCATCGCAGATGGATGATGGGGCCAGCCCTCCTGCGCACGTATGTATGGTATGCGCGCGCACTCACCACATCCGTAACCCAGATAGCACACACACACACACACATGCAATGCGCGCTCTGCCCGCCGGGTATTGCTTGCTCGCTCGCACATGGCGCAAGCTGCGCAGGTAGCATTCCCGGCGCGCGCTCGCATGAACCGACCCAAGCCCAGCTCATCTCGTCCAACCCAACCGAGCCGAGCCGAACCAAACCGCGCCGACGATAGTTCTAGCTATCGATGTGGCAATCTTGCGTAGCATCTACACATATATCTATTCCCCTTGTCCCGCTTCGACAACTCTCCCCTGCCACCCTCCCCCCCCCCGTCTCGGAGCTTAGCTGTTGCGACGTAGCAGCATAGCAACTTGTACATACGTACGCGTGCGTATGTACGTGTACATAGAGGCAGTCATGTTCGTCAGGAGACAGGACGAACCCGGCCCCGCGACATGCACACGGCAGGCATTCTCGCGTAGTTAGGGCCTATCTTTACGCTCAGCATCCCGCGCCCACGCGCAACGGACGGTGCAGAAACGAGGCAGCAGCAGAGGAGAGAGAGAGAGAGAAAGAGAGAGAGGCAGATCGCCGGACGAGCCCCGTTCACCCCCCGGGACGGGAGGAGAGAAGAAGGGGGGGAGAAAGGACTTTTGCGGATAGGGACGATGACATAACAGAAGCCCAAGAAAAGGGTGGTGCCCCTGCCAAGACCCGGACCCGGACCCGGACCAGGGTGCCAGGGGGGAGCCCCCCTGTCCTGCCAGCGGTCGACCGCCCCCTGAATGGGTTGGTTGCTTTCCTTTCCTTCTCCGTTTCCCCTCTCGTTTTCCGTCTTTATTCTCCTCTCCTCCCTCTTGTGTACGCACGTATATGTATATCCACTCGGGTATAATGCCTATACGTGGAACATACATATATATGTATACATACCTATGCAGGTATATCCCGGGGAGCTATACCAGGGGCAGGTATTAAGCCGCAGCAGTGGAAGAAGGGCGAGCAACAGCGCAGTCCGACCTGAGCGCTCTCCTCGCTCCTCGTCTGCCTTGCGTAGGTACGCGAAAATACGGCCCAACGCTCGTTCTGGGCTCAGCGCTTCTCTTCGTCTGTATGTACACGTACGTATGGAGGTAGGGAGATGGGTAGGTATGTATGCACATTATATCCTACACAGCACTGCACACGTCGTATAGTAGTAGCCGGTGCTCCTCCTGCCTACCCGTCTCATCTCCGTGCAATCCCACACATCACCGACAAGCTAGTCGAAGCCTCTCCTTTCTCCACGTACCTATATCTCTCCCATACACCAAGCCCCGACACTCACCGGTGTCGCGGCTCCCATCCCTCCCCCCCCTTTCTCCCCTGCGAGTTTGCCGGAGCCAGAAGAGAGAGAGAAGGTCCCTCGCCAATCATCATCACCCACCCACCAGGTCGCACAGACTGGCGAGTTGCCCGTGGGCGCGCTACCCTACCGCACCATCTCCGTCTGCACGTGTGTGTATGGGATGTAGGTAGTTACTTTCCTCGATACCTAAAGTCCCTCGACGGCCCTACCATATACCTACACAGACGAGCTGTACCCAGTCTCTCTCAGGCGTCTGCTCTCCTCCTTCGGGAGCCACCTGTCGCATGCATAACCTTCGCTAAAGACGGTCCCGTCCTGTCCGCCCGCCGGGAAGCAGAGGAGGGACAAAAGCAAGGCATCAGTGCGTTGTGCCGATGTCTGTGGATGTGTGTATGTGTGTATATGTATGTACGTACGTATGCACATAACAAATGTAATAGACCGTGGTCTCCTCTCCCTCTCCCTCTTCTCGCCCCGACTCTGCTCCATCGACGGTCATGCCCGTCGTCTCCCCCCCCCCCCGGTATTTAACATTACATTATGTACATGTCATGTAGGAGAGAGGTGGTCGCATCGCACGCACCGATGCCACGCATATAGCGTGCAGGTACTATTATTATTATTGCTGTCATTCTTATTGGCGTCATTAAAGCCAGCTCCTCTCTGGCCTCGACCACGACGACATATTCTCCCCCCCTCCTACCCTCTCTCTCTCTCTCTCTCTACCTGTGTGTGCGAGTGCGCGCGGAAGCTCGCTGCTGTCGTTGGGCCTGGAAAGTCGACGTGCCTGATTAGGGGGGAGGAGACGAATACGTGACCCCTATACCTGCCCTATTACCTACTCCCCTACCTACCTACCTACTGCTGCTGCTACCCTTACTTCGTATCGTGAATATTTTCTTCTCTAAACCCTCCCCGGGCAAGTTTGTTATACGCCTAAGGTCGCTTTCCGCAAATACACAGCTAGAAACCTCCGAGATCTTTTTTTCACTTTCGACCTTTTTTTATTATTTTAATTTACATTCGGGGAGGGCTTGTCAGCGCATGTCACTCTATCCTGTCATCCCAACTCGAATACGCCTACGGCCCCCTCCCCTCTCCGTAACGTGGTGTCTCCGGCTGCTATTACGATCGACAGGTACTGTTAAGCACCCTCGTTTCAACCCCGCTGTTTAACACGTCCTAAGTCGCGATCCTGGTCCCGATTCTGCGGTCCGAGCTATTCTTCCCTGGAGTCTAACCGATAACTAAATTCTGTTCTTTTTTTTTCGCCCGGCCTTCTATCGTTCCATCCTGTTGCTCTGCCTTTACCGAGGAGCGTCTAGGACGGTTTGCTTCCTGCTGGATGTGGGAGAGCGGTGTATGTGCATGCCTGCGTGCTCGTGTGGTATTTCCTTGGAATATATGATTTTCGTCGGGTGGGAATTTGCACCATGGTTTCAATATTTGGATTCAAGATCGGTGGTGAAAAGAAGAAGTGAGTATAGCAAGGGGGTGAAAGCAACGAGCGAGAGAAACTAGACGTTACATCGGACCGGGCGTGAGACTCGAATTCGAGCTAACAGCTTGCGCAGGAAGCCGGCGAACGAAGTAGATTCTTCTACCCAGCCACGTAGGAACGAGGAGCAAGATGACCAGCCGACGGGGGAACAGTTCCTTAGCAAGGCAAACGGGCGGAGCGCGACGTACGGCGGGAACGTTGAGTCGGCCTCCCGCCCCGGCACATCGCATTCTTTCAGGCTCAATCACTCGCGGACGATAGCCATCAACTATAGCTCCGAGGCTCCCAGCATGACTCCCGCCAGCATTTCCGATCTCTCGCGGCCGACACACCCGGGGCTGAAGCAACACGCGTCGAGCCCGAACCTAGGAACGCCTAGCTCGTGCAATTCTTCGACCTCGGAGCTCCCGCCGCTGCCGCCGCCAGTCCCTATGCGCAATCCTTCTCGGCCGGGCACGCCTGTGAAGCAGCAGAATTGGATGAGCCCCTTCGATATGCACTCCGACGGCCTGCCGTCGTCCCTGGCGCCCGCGCCTGCACCGAGGTTTCCTTTGATGGAGGACGAGCCGTACGAGGACTTCGCCGGCCCGATGCCGAGCAGCGACGACGACGAGATTCCGACGCCGCTGCGGATCGCGATGCCTAGTCCTCCGGCATACCCGGTCGGTTCGCGGAGCAGGCGCCAGTCACTCACGAAACCCCCCTCTCCTCCGCAGTCGATCCGCGGCGCAGAGAGCCCAGTCCTAGAGCGCCCTCCGTACTCTAGAGATGAATATTTCCGCCCGCCGAGTAGAGGCGGTCACCACAGGAGCGGAGCCACAGGAAATGGCACAACCACGCTCAAGGAGGTGCAGAATATACGAGATATGCCCGACTCCCACGACCCGGCCGCGATCCCGTCGCCTATACCGACGCCCCGTGGAAGCAGCGAGGCGAAACGCCCAGGCCCAGGTCCAAGCTTGAGCAGAACTAGCAGTAATAACCGCAGCAACAACAGCAGCTCCGCTAGATTGGGAGACCTCTGGGCCGAGCCGACGATCCGGACGGTCGAGGCCCGGCGCGACGCTTTAACCGCAAGCGCGCCTCGGAGGCGGAGCCTGGAGATGACGGTCGAGGAACTTGCGAAGCCGGACTACATGGCGATGCTGATGGCAGCCTCGCCGGTCGCGCGGCCGAAGACCTCGGGCGGCCCCCAGGCGTCGACGATCATGACGCAGCAGCAGCGGCGGCTGGAGCGTGGTCCGCTGCCGCCGCCCTCTGTCGATTTTGAATTTCGCCCCCGCACGCCGGATCGCAGTGCGTCGCCGGCCACCCCGTTCACCTCGAGCTCACGACCGCAGACTCCTACCGGAGCAGGATCGCGCAGGCCTCCTGGTCCGCCCGTTTCCGCAGTAGGCGCCTACGGCCGGGCCGCCAGAAGACCGGACACGCGACGGGTACGCCGCCCTACGGCGGACGAGTACGAGATCGAGATTCACCGACGGCCGCAGCAGTCACAACCACAGTCGCAGTCGCAGCCGCAGCCGCAGCCCCAACCGCGGCCACAACCGCGGCCGGCCCAGCAGCCACCCCGGCAGCAACGAGAACTCGAGCGCAACATGACCAATAACTACTACTCGACCGACGACGACGACGACGACCACCCGCCCTCTCCCGACAGTCCCTTGATACCGCGTACCGGTCCGCTGGCTAGCCCGCGGTTCCCTCCGCTAGAGGCGCAGCTCGCGCCGCCGCCGCCAGCCCGGGGCGCCACGAAGCTGCGGCTCCTAACCGCTGCGAGCGACTACCCGGCGGCGTCGTTGGGGGGCGACATGGTAAACACGCCGGAGGAGCTGCCGGGGCCGCGCCTCGGCCACCGCAACGTCCCCACGCCGGACTCGTCGGACTGGCCGCTGCCGTCGCCGACGGGTTCTTCGTTCGACGCCGGGTCGGCGGCGGCGGTGGCGGGGGCCGGGGGCGCGGTCTTCTTGCGCTCGGACTCGCCGCTCTTCTCCGCTTCGCGGGCCGAGTCGCCGTTCCTGCCGCACGCCGACTCGCCGTTCGGGCGCGGCGGCGAGTCTCCCGTGTTCTCCCCGCCCCGGCTGCCGGGCGGCGCGCGCGCCGAGTCGCCGTTCGGGTTCCGGTCGTTCAGCCGCCCGTGGACGCCGTCGCAGAGCCACAACAGCAGCAACCACTACTACCACCACGGCGGGAACGAGCCCTCGCCCCGCGCGCGCCGCCCGAACCAGCCGTACCCGAGGCGCGCCGACACGGCGCCCGTGTCGCTGCCGGGATCCCCCGCGAGGCCGCCGCCGTCGCGCGCCGCCACGGTGAACGCCCCCGGCCGCGGGCTGCGGAGCCCGGCGATCGTCGGGGACGACTTCGGCCGCGGCCAGGCCTGAGAGCCTGGCTGTCGATCGCGTCGCGGCCAAGACGCCAAGCCGGGATAGTCGGCTGCAAAGCATGGCAGCATGGCAGCAGCATCGGTGCCGCGTAGCACGCACCGCAGATATATATACGTTCGAACGGGGGGCAGGGAACCACCAACCTAACTAGGTCTTTTCTATCCGCTTCTGACAGTCCCTACCGATACTACCATTGTTGCTCCGCTATATTTCTCCGATTTCTTTATTTCTTTTTTCCCTTTGTCGAATCGAGAATCGATAGCAGCATATTGTGCAGCAACCGAGATACCCCCAACTCCCATGTCCCCCCCCCCACCCCCTTTTTTTTTTTCCCCTTTCGTCGACATGTAGTACGCTCAGTTCCAGTACACATAGAATTGGCTGGCTTTTCCGGCTCGGTCCAGGGGCGTTCGGGGATGGTACAGAGCATTGCATGGCCGCTGTCGTCGTTATTATCGTCTTAGCATATTAGCATAGCTCGCAGCATAGTAAGCGTTACCTGTCGTGTGTTCAGTTGACACGTGGTTTTCTCTCTCCTTTTTTTTTTCTCCCTCTCGCCCACCACTCCCCGCGACTTGGCGACTCGTCGCGGCCAACGAAGTAGGGTAGCCCCCCGAGAATATATAGTGTTAATGATAACTCCAGCCTTGCACGACATCGGCGTGGGCGACGCGGAGCATTGTGTCGCGCAAACCGTAGGCCCACGGGGAGGTTAACCAAGTACCACCACCTCAAGTCCCTTCAGCGTATTCTTTCCGATCCGATCCGAGGCGCCTAGTAACCCGAGGCCGGAAGCGATGCGTACCGTAGAAAGTTGCTTGGGATGTGACAAGGCCGACACACTGCGCTCAATAGGAGCTAGACGATAGAGATAGAGTCATAGGCGGTGCCCGCATACCGCGGCTGGGAGGATTGCGAATGGCGAACGGCGTAGGTGTGTAGGCGCCAAGCGTGAAACGAAGAGAGGAAAGGGGAGCGTCGGGCCGGCTGGCGCACGAGAGCTCCAAAGGTCGTTCTACACCGACAGGAGCTTACTTGAGAAAAGCGAACGCCAGAAACTTAGTACTAGGGTTCACTAGCAAGAGGGAGGAGTCATAACGAGGTGCTTTTTGCCCGCCTCGAGTACGTCTAGGTAGGCAGTATAGCAAGGCAAGTCGGTTGGAGGTGTGTTGGAGAGGTGAAGGAAACTGGCATAATACACGTCAGTAGATGCGACGAGTAAGAGGGGCTTCTTATTTACATCCTAGGCACCTACAGAGAGCGTACCTACCTGCGCCCAAGTCTACTACCATACATCCTCACAGGTTGTACAATACAGGCCATTATGGCATCACAAGGCACACGCTGTCAGCGAAATCTTCGATACAAAAACTCATGAATACATCTCCTCTTGTTAACCTTACGCTGCTTCGCTGCCCCAACCCCTTAAGTCGTCAATACGTGGATATCGTGAAACCCCACTCCGCCGCAAACCTGTCCCGACCTCACAACTACGACAGAACGCCGTCGGCGCCGCCCTGGTAGGGGTCGAAAGGGAGGAGGGTGTTGTTAAACAGCGCTGTTTGTTTGGGCCAGGCCCTGTTTGCGCGCCATGTTCAGCGCCTTCAGCTTCGCGGTGCCGAAGCCGGCGACCCCGTCCTCCTGGTTGTCGCCCAGCCAGGGCTTCTTGGAGTCGCCGAGGATGCTGCCGGCGACGAAGTAGACGGTGAGCCCGAGGATGATGAGCACGAAGGCGACGGGGTACATGAAGTGGATGGCGTAGCCGAACACGTGGATGCCGATGATGGTCCCCCAGAAGTTCGCCGTCAGCAGCGAGATGTTGTAGAAGGCGGCCGAGGCGATGCGCAGGACGAAGGGCACGACCGAGTAGAAAAAGGCCAGCACCAGCGTGTAGCCGACGAGGTAGCTGGCCACCGAGTTGTTCCACGTGGCTTGCCGGAAGCTCTCGCGGTCGAAGATGGCAGCCTGCACGCCGTTGATGATCATGCCGAAGAGGCCCATGAACGACAGCACTTCGTACATGGGGCGCTTGCTGACGTACCACTCCTCGAAGGCGTTGGTGAGGCCGTAGCAGGTGGCGCCCAGCAGGGCGAACAGGTCGCCCTTGAGCATGTTTTCGCCGCTGCCGCCATTGATGCCCTGGATGTGGTCGCTGGCCAGCAAGATGCCCATGCCGCCGCAGCAGATCAGGATGCCGGCGATCTGAAAGATCTTGTACCGCACGCGCAGCAGGAGGAAGGAGACGATGACAACGCACACGATGGCCCAGAAGTTGATCAGCTGGGCGGAGAGGATGTTGGTGTAGCGATAGGCCAGGACGGTGAAATAGTTGCCCTGGACGTCGAGGAAGCTGAGGATGAAGTACTTCCAGCCGTCCCGTAGCAGGATCTGGGCGTACCTCTTCGGGCCGTAGTGGTAGAGGGTATAGGTCAGATAGATGAGGGACAGCAGGATATAGGTGAAGACGGTCTGGAAGGCCGGGATGGAAGTGCCGTAGTTGACGAGGAAGGTAGAGAAGGTGTTGGTGGCGGTGATGCAGAGGGCGAGCACCTGGCCGAGGAGGAGGACGACCCAGAAGTCAGTGGTGGCCAGGTACGAGTACCAGTGCACCTTTCCGGCCTCGATCTGCTGCAGTCCCTGGCCGACGGCTTCGTGGGTAGCGGCATCGTCGGAGACACTGCCGCTGCCGCTGGCGGGGCCGAACCGGACCTCATTGCCGGTGCCGCCAGTGACGGCCGTGGTGGTGCTGAGGCCTTCGAACTGGCGGATCGACTTGTCGTAGTCGGCCATTGCGAGCTGAGGGATGGGGCGGTATCGCTCCGCGCGACGATCTTGGCCGAAAGCGTGCCGAAGCGTCGGGAGAGAAGAGGAGATTATGCCGGCGAGCAATCTCATGCAGCGACAATGGATGACAGCTGAATCGCGACGTCGACCCCGTCACACCAGCCAATCAACCACCGTCAGCGAGAGAGGCTTGTTCAATAAACAGACCAATAAGTACGAATGGGTATCCAAAATAGAACGCAATGAGAAACACGGCCGTGCAGATAAGTCTTTCTTCCGTCCCCCTACTGCAAGCGCAAAGACTTCAAGTCGCTTGCAAGTGTTGTTACCGCGACAGAGGCGCGCACATAGGCGTAACCCGTTGTGCGCGGGTGGCGGACGATGGAGGCGCGAGAACGGGTTGGCGACGGGCAGCCCAGCAGGAAGGAGTGTGGCAAGAGGGTATTTCTCTCCTAATTCCCAGGTATGTAACCGGATATCTTCGGCGATTATACACCGCAGAGACGTAGGCGACGAGGTAGACGAAGACGACCGAGCTGACTGGCTGGGTGCTGTAGCTGTAGCTGGTTCGCGAGGCGAGGATTGGGGGATGGACGAGGAGGGAGGAGAAAAAGAGAAAAGGCGGCGGAAGACCCCCAGGCCTGGATCGGCCAATAATGGGCCGCGTAGAACCGACATATAGCCCACCCAGCACGCAGCGCACCCTGGGAGGTACCTAGCATGCCTATATTGGCCAGATTGGAGCGTGTTGACTCTACTACCCTCGTCCCTCCCTCTGCCTACTTCACATTGCCCATCTCTGCGACGTAGTAGCCGGGCCCTTACCGCAGGGGTCAGTCTATCTTCAGCTCCCTCCCTCGACGAGGCTAGGCCCATCCCCTCTCCAGAGCACATGTCTCCAGACCTCGTCAGCGGGAGCTCCCATTGGCCTCCTGCGCAGCCCCCTCCCCTTCTCGACGTCTAGAAAGAGAGAATCCGGCAAGGTATATACACCGACGTCTGAGTGCGTCATCATACAACAGCCCTGCCGCACGTAGACGCCCATCTCGACTCCCCTCCACTCCCTCCCCGGCGCTATCTCCTCCAGGACAGGCTGAGCGACCGTCCCGTGAACCAGAAGGCACATTTATCCATCTGGCATTTCTCCCACGCTTGTGCTCAGCTAGCAGAGCCTAGCCGCGCCGTGGTCTTGGACCCACCCGCTTCGGCTGGCCGTGGCGGTCGTGGGGGTATGAGAGGATAGGCGGGAATGGCGACGAGGATGAGGCTGTCGCTTATAGTCGCTGAACGAGCGGGGGCAGCTATATAGGTGTGCGTACGGGTCACTCCTCATGATACCAATGGTCTGTTTCCAGCCGGAACCCTGATATCTATGACTAACAGTCGGGCTTATTCCTAGGTAAGTAACTACGGAATTTCAAGCCACACAAGCTCTACCCCAGAAATCCCTCGAATCCGGCGTGACTCGCCTCGCCGCGCATGACACTTCGCCCCCCCCCAGACCCCACACACGCATAGGCATGCTCAGAGGGCTCTGGGGTCATCCGCAGAGAAACCTATATCTCGAACTAACAGGTAGGAGTATCTAGGCCCTCGAGAGACCCGCGAACCCCGAGATGGAATATCTAAGTCGGGTTTCACGGTTGTGTAACACGCATAACCCGCGCTGCGCCTTCACGCTACAAATTTACCCGTCCAAGCGTTACTACGTTGTTCTCGGTAAGTAGGTAGACGGGCCATCCTCTATCTCTTACCCACCGGACGAGGGGGTACGCCCCCGACCCAGCTGTTTCTCGGTCATATCACGCGTGGGGAAACGAGTGCGCGATGGGGTACAGCGCGGCGTATCCCTCTCCGGTAGTCAAGCTGTCATTACCCCCGACCAGCCGTCGATCTAGGTGAGCGAGCTAGACACAGGTAGGCAGAGGGGAACGTGCCCACGCAGAGAGGCTGCGAGCGGTCGTTCCAAGTAGGCAGGCGAAGCTACGCACCGTTGCGTAGGTAATATACGCATATGCGTAGGTTCTCGGTATTATCATCGTTACGCCCCAGCCGGTGTACTTGCCGCCAGCTTAGCTGGAATTCGACAGCCCGATCATCACTGTATCCACGTAAAGAGGCCGCCCCGGCTTTGGGACTGGCGAAATAGGGGCACATGCCGATCCTTTATAATGCCTATGGTATATACGCCGTATGATATATATACTATATACCTTATCGCACCTACGTACTCGGTCAACTCTTCAATGGTCTCGGTAGTCGAATCAACCCAGAGGTAGTTACTCATGCCTCGTTCGGGCATTCCACCCCCGAGCACTCGCATGGCGCATTAGTCCTCCCATTCCAGCTGTCACTACGAAAGAGCCGTATAGAAGAGCCCTTCTCAGCTTGACCTGTATAGACTTCCCCAGCGAGAACTTCGCCGTAAATCCGTCCCCACATCTTCCCCCACTCGGTTCTGGTTTATTCGTACCTACATGTCTACCCGCTACATTCTTGGATCTTTCAGAGGAGGGGCCGCCAGCCGGGTCCATAGGCCTCGGCATGCCGGGAGGGGAAGTAACATGGTAGACAGGGTATGCGGATCCCGCGTGGACGGCCTAGAAGCGATCGCCGTAGCCAACGCGGGACAGGTACTGGTGGATGCCGCAGGGAATGCCATTCGTAGACAACGACCAGTCACGACCGTCAGGTCCTCCTCGGAAGGGCCAGTAGAGAAGGCAGAAGGGGCCCCGCGGTCACAACTTCGTTGGTTGGTCGTTTTGCAGAATCTATCCTCCTGGATAGGGGGAGCAGAGCAGATAACAAGTGACTCGAGAGTTGTATACACATACAATACGTATGTCACGTAGCGGCCAACCCTTATATGTCAACACACTACAAGCCGAAAAATGTAGGCGTTTATGTTTCAAGCGACAGTTATGAGCCCGGACGCTTCCAAGGTGCTAAATGTAGGTATCGTGTAAAACGTGGACGCCCACATCCTAGGGCTTGTAGTAGGTATGCTGGCATATAAGGGCTGATCCTGTACGTGACATCCCTTCCCCCTTCTTAAACACCTGAGGCGGGTAATAACTTGTCCACGGAGTATTGAACCCTCTACCTCTTGGCGCGGCGCCGTTCTGCCAGTTCTAGTCTAAGTAAGAGGTAGCTGCACGTACAATTGAACCGTGGTCGAACCACTAAACCAATTTTACACCTTGGAAGCGTCCTGGCTCATAACTGTCGCGCAAAACGTAGACACCTACATTCTACGGCTTGTAGTATGTTGGCATATAAGGGCTGATCGCTATGTGACAACATGTAATACCCCAGGCTTGCCTTTCGGCAAGCAGTGCGATGCGGGATATAGGGTAGAATTAACTGTAATACGACCAAAAGACAGTTTTCATCTCGGTGGAAGTAACGTAATTTTCGGAGGAGATCAGCGGTAGCGCACCCACATGTATATAGGTAGACGTGGCATTTTATGCTCTGACGGATGGACAAGAGGGAATCACCTGGCCCACTCAAAGCCCGGTATATTTGGGTATGGGCGATGGCGGCATCCTCAAATTTATTTGTTTGTATTCGTGGATGGATATAGCTGAGGGATGCTCTCTCAGGGCGAGGTGACCTTCATTGTAACAACAATATTCTACATACCTAGTTAATTAGGTAACGTTCCTTGGAGAAGCCAGCTCAGTGGAACGCCAACGCTCCCGTTTATCTAAAACCGGCGGCGGCGAATTGGACCGGCGAGCTCGGGGCATATTGTATTTGAACGCTGGGTAGAGCTGGGTAGTAAAGAACCCTCCTCCTCCTCGCTGTCGGGTGGTGGCGCCCCGGTCATGATAGTCGTGACACACTTACGTCGCCTCACAATATTAACCCAGAGTAAGTGGCATGTACACACACACATATATATACTACTCACATCACATCATGCTCTAATAACAGACTTTGACCCTATGCTATGCCGCCACCGTCGCCCGCGCGGCGTCGAAGTGATAAATATGTGTCGGAGAGCGTGCAAAGTCATACCGTATACGCCCCAACACAGCAACCGACACAGCAAATCACTGTAGACCTCCTTAACGAGACGAGTCCATCGAGGAACAGATCCCCCTCCAAAGCCCGAAGGAGGGGGGAAGGGGGGATAATGCGTCTGATTTAGGTACCAGAGGGATTTGTCAGCGAAATCGCGCAGCCGGGGCTCTCGAAACTTCGGGGTCGTTGGGAGATAGAGGCCTTTCGGATCAGCTGGGAGAGCCTGAAGAAGCAAAGCGAGTCGTACAGGGGGAACGGCTAGTAGTAACCAATCTGCGTCGCCGTGTAATGATGTAGGGCATCGACCGCTGCGGAAGATGGTCAACAGAATCTTGGCGACCTCGTCGTGCGCACGCCGTTGGGTGCGATTCGGGGCATGTGCCTGGCGGTCCTGCCAATGGCATCGAGCGACCGATGTCTTTACCTTGTCGTAGTTGCTATGCTGGTGGTGTGATTCTTCCACCTAGTTCCGCCTGCAATGATGGGGAGAGGGGAGGGGAGGGGAGGGGAAGGGGGGGTAAGGAGTGGGTGGTTCTCTCGTTAAATCTTGGGTAGCGAGCGCCCAGATGGAACAGCCTGACTTATATAGAAACAAGTTGGCTGTTAGCCCTTACCTGTGGGATACGGTAACGTAGGGCCGTAAGGTAAGCAAGCCCTTTATAGCCTCCTTTTCAATACGAGCCTGGCTTTTCTCGGGTGAAGGTGATATTATATCACCGCCAACCCAGCAGTATGTGATTCGTAATCCCTACCGGAGTAAGCTGCGGCGCGGGGCGCCCTATTCGCTGAACACGCGACAAGAGAAAAGAAAAGGAAAATAGCCCCAGGATCCGGCGGCGGTGGCCTATCATTTGAGACGACCGAAGCCCCCAGTATCTCTTAACTAGGGATGCGGTGCCAAGCGAAAACTAAGAATGGCTGGGCTACACGTCGTCACTGGACGCTTCCTACATGAACGCGCAGTAATAGGCCTATAT